GGGGGGGGGTGGGTGGGGGGGATTTACATACATACAACTCAATTCCTATTTATTTAAACATCCAACATCCAAACTTCAATTTTTACGTATATACCATTTTACCTATGCATGAAAAGATGTGTTTCACTTTTCAGAAGTTAAAATGTTAATATTTTTTTTGTGATATGAAAGGTTTGGTTGGTATAAATGTAAAAAGAAAAAATTAGGGTTCAGATACATGTAAATATATAGGAGCTGGGTGGTATGTATGTAAATGCCTCAAAAATAATTTTGCAAATAGATCATCAAAAGAAAGCACGGGTGTTAAGTTCATGTGAACTGTTAATAATAAAGGGAGTTTGATGCTGAAGTTAACCCAAACAACAATAGGAAAGTAAATATTATTATTGAAAGTAAATATATGATTACAAGCAAATACACATGAAAGAGAGAACAATAATAGACATAACACATAAGATGCCGCCCTCACAAGGGGTTGATCCGAGGGTGTTGGTGGTCAGTTATGTAGAGTGGATGGCATGGTAAGGGGCTGAAATCTGGACAACCGAATGACAGCGATAATACAACAATAGTTGTTTGGGGGTGACAACAAGCTGGGTACAAGTTTGGGGAGGCAGTGGAAACGAAAGGAAGAAGGTTTGGTTTTGGAAGGCGGCCGTAAGGGTACACAAAGTTTTGAAAGGGGGACAACAAAGTGGACTGCAAGAAACAACTATAGGGGCTATCAGGCGGCTGCAGAAGGGGAGGAGGACAACGAGGCGGTGGCTGGGTGGCAGGAGGCTGGTAGATTGATTGGCGGTTGGATGACAGTCGACGGTAATGTAATAGAGAGCTGCAGTGGGGGAGGAGGACAAGGAGGTGGCTGGCTGGCTGGTAGATTGATTGGCGGTTGAATGGCAGTCAGCAGTAACATGATAAGCGGTTGGGAAGGCTGGTGGGAAGGCGTGGGGGCTGCAAGAACAACACAGGAATTGTTCTCTAGAGCGCCTGCAGCAGTATGGCAACGGCAACAATGGAGGAAAGGTTGCGGAGGAAGGAAAAATTGAGGATATTTACCACCTCTAAATGAGATACAGACGGAGCATCACTTGCCCTTAGATTGAGCCCTAGAAGGGGAAACCGGAGACACTGGCTGCTATCCCGAACAAAGTCATACAAAACCTAACTCTCCAAGCCCTAATACATCACATATTTCGAAAATGACTATAAAGGAAGGAAAGGAAATAAAATAAAATAAAAATAACATAAGGGTCATTTTGATCTGCCTCTCGTGATCGCTAATCCCACAAGCAGTCACCCTATGGACCAGTATTGTAGCGTGATAGTGATTTGACTGCGATAAGATCTCACGTTAGTCTCTCAGGATTGGGAGAGCTTCAACCATATCCTTCAAAGCTTCTGTTGTCTCATAATATGAAGTCTAGTCTTTCACGTTGAAAGTAGCGAAAATATTGTAGTCTCCTGGTAAGTCAATCTTATAAAAATTGTCATTCCAAAGCATATTCTAATAGAATAAATATCCATCATCTTCTAAAAAAACCTGACTTGGAGTTGTATATTGAGACAAATTCACACAAAGTAACTCTTGAGCCATTAAGTATGTGATTTATCTCTACTCTGCGTACTTGATCGGACATATCCGATAAACCAACTTGTCTAAAGGGACTAATTCTGGAATGAAAACTGTGGCAAGCTTGGCAACTGTCAATAACAACCACTCGGGAGAGACATCTTCTTTTTCTCAAGAAGGATCTGGATCTCATTATAAAATGTTATTTCCCGCAGAGCTCCTAAGAATATTTCCAGCTCTACGGGTCAACCATCTCATATGACCATCTGTTGGTGAGTAGATTGTTGAACTAAATTTAATATTCAAATGACACCATATGATCTTCCAAAAGTAGTTCAAAAATATCTTAATATGTTATACCTCTCCCAGTAGGGGCAACTCAGAAGATAGACTATATACGTGAAAATTCCAAAATTCTCTTGTATGGAGTTGCCTAGTGTCTGGTATCGGCTCCTCAAGCTCATGGTCCTTTTGAACATCCAATGCTAGTCCTACTGATGCTCCTCTCGCACCTACAAAAATGTAGTTTGTGGCATCACAATGTCATACTTCACTTGAACGTTCTTTACCTCAAACTCACTCCCTTCTAGAATAAATACTATCAATCCTGCTAGAATATCTCTCACGAGCTCAACTTGAATTACCTGCATTTCTATCATAAGTTGGTACCCAATACTCCTTTGTGTCCTCACTTTCTTAATTAACTATTGTGTCATTTTCCATTTCTTTAGTTGCTCTCTGCTTAGTGAAATAGGGTGTAATTTTATTTGGACAATCTGATGCAAAATGCCCAAAATCATGACATGATTCCCAATACCGTGGCACTTGACGCACTTTTTGGTTGGGACAGATTTGAGAATGCTAGTTGGTTCTACCTGTTCTCCACTCTAAATTAGTTTCAACCCGGGCCTCCGATTGCTTGAACATGTGATTGAACTTTGTCTGTAAGATGTTACGGTCATCTGATGATTTTGGCTCTTCACTTTTAAAGCTAAGGTCAAAACATCTTGTTTGTAATAAACTAATAAGCACTAGCGTTGTATATCTCATTTCATTTTAGATCAGATAGTAATTTTACTCATCTCTTCTCCCTATCAAAAAATCTTCAAGTTCTTCCACCATAGAGATGCACTCTTTTTTAACTTGCTAGAGGCTAGCTTCATCATTTTGTTTGGTGGGATATCCTGTACTCAAAGAAACGTTCAACAATCTGGACCCACTTGAAAAACTCGTCTGGATCCAAGTGACCATCAAAATATGGCAAATTAACAATATTTAAAATCCTAACTTCTCTGATATTTCTGGCCAAATCTTCAAGGTAGTGGTTCTTCATCTCTAGAATCTACATGATGGAAGGGTTTTGCTGCATTCATTCAATCTGGCAAGTCACCGTTGTGGCTACAGGCGACCCTAGACTCTGTTGTAGTTAGAGGATTTCTCACTACATATCTTCCATAAAAAGTTCTTGAAATCTCTTTGTGGATTTCTCATAAATAGTATTATGTTATTTCTTCTTGATCAGGTCTCCGACTATTTTCTTCGATGTGGTTAGGGTTTAAGTTTTGGTAGGTAGAAGAAGGTGCATGGATGACGTAGGGCGGGAAAGAATTTTTTTTTGGGTTAGGTAGTGGAGGATTGAGGTAACCTTAGAATAGGACTAGGGTTAGATTATCTTTGATACTAAATAATATTGGAGTTAACCAAAATAATAACAGAAAAGTAAATATTATTACCGAAAGCAAATATGTGATTACAACTAAACACACACATAGACACCCCCCCGCAATGGATTGATCCAAGGGAGGTGGTAGTCAGTTATGTGGAGTGGATGGCATAGTAAAGAGCCGGAATGATAGTAGTTGTGTCGGTAGGCAGAAATAACAACAACGTGGGAATTGAGGGGTTGCGGTTTGGGGATGACAGCAAGTTCGGGCTGCTGGCAGCTAAATGACAGCGATAAAACAGCAGCAGCTACTGTTTGGGGGTGCCAATAAGGTGGATGCAGGTTTCGGAGGCAGCAGTAGCGCAAAGGAAAGGGAGAAGAGTTGGTTTTGGAAGGTGGCAGCAGGGGTACGTGGAGTTCTGCAAAGGAGGACAGCAAAGTGGACTGCGGGAAAGAACTATAGGGACTGTCTGGCGGCTGCAACAGAGGAGGGCAAGAAGGCGGCGGCTGCAACAGAGGAGGGCAAGAGGCCGGTAGGGTGATTGGCGGTTGGATTGGCAGATGGCAATAAGGTGATAGGTAGCTGGGAAGGGCAGCAGTAAAGCGTGTGAGCTGCAGGAATAGCACACACACTGTTCTCCGTGGAGCTGTAACAAGGTATCCTCTTTGATTCCAAGATGACAACTTTACATAAAACTCTAAAAAAAAAAAAAGAGATTTTCATACCAAAAAACAATATTCCAATATTGATTTCATAAACAAATATAAATGATTACCGTGTCGCGCTTAAAAAGCATTCCAAGTAAGGCATTGATTTGTGTATTAAACACTCCATCGCCAACTCCCCATATAGCGCCAATGAGAAGCGGCAACACCGAGCCAAGCGCTCCGTTGCTTAAGCTGCACATGATAAAATGGAAGATTTACACAAATACCACTCAATTCTTATTTATTTACATATCTCACGCCTAAACTTCATTTTATATATATATATGATACTTTACCTATGCATGAAAAGGTGAAAGTCACTTTTTATAAGTTTTAAGTAGTGTCACTTTGGATGAGATGTGAAAGATTTGGGCGGTATAAATGTAATAAAGCAGATTTTAGGATGTTAGATATGCAAATATATAAGAATTGGGTCATATGTGTGCAAATGCCCCTTTTAAAATTTACCTGTATCCAAAAACCAACCATAGTAGAGCAGCAATTTGAAGAACAGATCCAAAGGAGACAATTACTGTGACAGAAAAGAGACTAGAAGTATACCAACCGGCCAACAGAGAACTCTGCACCAGTAAAGAGGAAACAAACAGTGAGAAAACATTTATGTAAATTATGATATGAAGCTAAAAAAGAGATAAAGATTTACATATAATACCACTCAATTCCTGTGCAACACATATCTAACACCTAAACTTTAATTTTTACATATGTGACACCTTACCTATGCATGAAAAGATGTAATGTTACATTTAAAAGTCAAAATAATTTTGTTTTTGATATGATATGAAAGATTTGGATGATATAAATATAAAAGGTAAAGTTTAAGTGTTAGATATGTAAATATGTAGAAATTGGGAGGTATGTATATAGATGCCACCCCTAAAAAAGTTCTAACATCATCAAAAGAAAACTACACAAGAAAAAACCTATATAGAATGATAAATTACACGCGACAATACGGCATATACTAAGATTGATTAGATTAGAAAAGAAAGAACCACCGATTATTTGCAAGAGGCTAGAATGGTTTCATACTACGTAAAAGGGCAATTTAATCTCAAACTATTTAAATAAAAACCAAAATCGTCTTCAAGCAGTATTGGTGTAAACGAACCGAGATTGATCGAGCCTAGTGTTTGTTCGTGTTTGGCTAGCTGCATGCTTGAAATGTCTCGTGAATAGCATGTTCATGTTTGACTTGATTCAAATTTGTTTCTTCATTTCAGCTCGTGTTCAACTCAAAATTAACTCAAATTATTTAAAAATTAATAAAATTTAATCTTTTTTAAACACAACATAAATTAATATAAAAAAATATTAGCATAGTAATATTTATCTATTATTTAATTAATTCAATTCAAAACGAGCCAAATATGATCGAACAAAAGTTCGTTCGTTTTCGCATCGTTTATAAATCGAGCTAAAAACAATTGTTTGTGTGTTTCTCATTTGCTTAACGAACGAATTAGATACAAGCTATTTACCGAGATGAACACAAGCTCTCTGCGATTGACAAGCTTTTTTGACAGCCCTACCTCTCGAGACTGTTTTAGTCCCCATTCAAAGAGTCTATTACTATTTTTAGTCCCTATTTAAATGGTTCGAAGCTAAATTGATCTTTACACCCATTGCAAATAGTGGATCAATAAAAATAACATCTAATTAAATTTCTTACAATGTAACTTCCAAACGGTATCTTAAATCACAAGGGAATCCAAATTCTTAAAAGATTAAGCAATAGAAACAAAGCTTCCTCCTCAAACTGAAAAACTATTACAGAAGCTTGCCATGAACACATGTTCAGAACAATGTGCCAACTGGAGAACAAATACTCCTATGAAAATGTTTGTCTAACGAAGGCGAAGATCACAGCAAAACATAGACTCCAACGATAAATGTAACTACAAAAACAAAGTTATGCAAAATTTCACGTACAATTGCGTCTGCTGCGCCATACACTGCCATTGCACCACCTATGCCCGACACCCCGAGAGCCGGTTCTACTATTTTCTTTGTAAATTCAGCCCTACCAATCACACAACTTAATTAACACCAAGAAAATAAAAAAGGGCATTCACATACATAGCACACAATTCTTATGTATTTACACATTTACACATATACACTAAAATCTTTAATATCACATAAAAAATAACACTAATACCATTTTTTAAAAGTGAAATGTACCTCTTCGAGCATAAATTTATAGCACCAAAGTGTTATGTATGTAAATATAAAAATTTAGGCATGAGATATGTAAATACATAAGAATTGTGTGCTAAAAAAACAACAAATCAAGCGTTGAATCAGTCTCAGTAATGCATAACAGCATAAAAAACTTTTTACCATACGAAAGCTTGTTGCAACCCTGAGTATGCAAGAAGAGGAATGATTAGCAGAACTCGCATCTCGAGTAAAGGAGCTGTAATAGACTTCAGTAAAGTCGCGATAGAGGCGTGTGACGGGAAATCTTCCTCTTTTTCGTCTCTTTTCGATAAGAAGCACATCAATATAGCACCCAAGAGCATGCAGCCAAGAAAAACAGTAAAAAGTAAGCCTGTTCCAGTGGAGCCGCCACCTTCCTACAGTCATGCAGTCAAGTCAACAATATGCACGAAAAATATAATGCGCATGAAGGACAACATTACAATAACTGTTTCTGTTAAATTGAAGGGGCGTTTACATATATGCTACTCAATTCCTATGTATTTACATATCGAACATGAGAACTTTGTTTTGTTACATTTAAATCACCCAAATCTTTTGTATCACGTAAAAAATATCATCATCTTAACTTTTAAGAAGTGAAATGCACCGTTTCATGCCTAGGTAAGTTGATCTATATGTAAAAATTGAAGTTTAGGTGTTACATATGTAAATACATGAGAGTTGAGTGGAATGACTGTAAATCTTCCAAATTTTAAATGAAAATTGATAAAGCATTCCTTGATAAAAAAGCTCCATCACATTGGATAGTGGAGATTTCAGTGGATCCGGTTGCAATATTCAAAAGACAATCTATTTATCTTGTGCTAGATTCAAAATAGTTCCTTGACTCTCAAAGTCTATAAATATGTCAATTTAATCTCCACACTCTTTTGAAGAGGGCCAAAATAGTCCATACTGGAGAGTATTTCAACACATATTAAAAGAGTCTCAGAATTAATTTGACACTTTTATAGACTCCAGATCTAAAATGACCCCATGTAAATAGTTAGGAATGCACATATGGAATAGATTTTTTCTTATGATTTTGTCCCACAAATCAAAATTATGGCATTTCCATTTCTTTTAAAAACACATTAGCAAACTTTAGTTGTTTGTTAAGGACTAAATAAAATTATTTTCCAATGCTCATGATAGCTAAGATAAAATAAATCAAACAAAAGAAATCACTTGCCCCTGCCAATCAAGTTATTTATTATATAAACCTAGAACTTAGTGTAAGACTCATGCTTATTTTGAATGTACTTGCGTCCATAATTCAGTTTCCCTTGAAGCTAATTCATTATATGTGCACTGGTTGTTCATTTGATTATCCAGGAAAAAAAATTGAAAACGCTCATAAACTAAATAGCTTCCATTTATTCCCCCTTCAATCTAGAAATTTTATGATATTAAAGAAAGCAATAGTGGGTAAGCAAATTGTTCACAGCATAACTTCTATAAAATTAGTTTGCTAACTTCCTGTATCCTTTCCAAAAATAGGATTATTGTCAAAGGGACTAGATATCAGCCCACCTACTAGTTCTAAAGACCAATTTTCTATTCAAAATGTCCTTGAGTTGCTCCAAATCAATCTTTCTCTACAAAATAGAATATTAATAATTTAATGTTCTCCATCTTTAGCACCTAATAAAAGGTTCATTTTAACTTGTACTGTTAGTACCTATAGGCAAAAGGAAGAGAAAGTTCAATTTAGGACAATAAAAGCTGAAATTGATTCTAAATGCATTCCTTTAGCTAAATGGTGGAAGACAATGTTCCCACAATAGAACTCATCTACTCCAACCAAGTAAATTGATGACAAAATTTTACAAACTTTGTATAAACTAAAATATTAGCCAAGGCCTTGTGTGATCAAATCAGTCATTCTATATCACCATGAATAGTTTTTCAAAATAACCATAATTTCGAACAGCGCGCATTCCAACTAATTGAAATGATTGTGGGTAATAGAGTGAGAAAAAAAAAAATCATCCTTGGACAACTTAACCAAAAGAAAAATTGGAATACATGCATTCCAGACTCCTCAGTGCGAGGTAGCAAAACATAAAAAAATGGGAATTTTACATGCATGACACTTGAAATATTAGAAGTTACCTACCTCACACACAAATTAATTTGCTTACATATATCACACCTAAATTCTCTTTAATACCCAAAAATAACACTCCGCCTCCTCCCGTCATCCTTTTCTATTACCACTAAAAAAATTCATGAGGAGCAATAGTCGACGGAGCCATCTCTTCCGAAGCCAATCTATTCCTTATAGAAACACCTACCTTCAGCCCCAATCTAACCTCCCCTTTGGTCTGGGTGTTTCATCCCTCTTTGACATGACACAGTTCTTCATCAGGTAAGTGCAGGACTTTAGAGTCAAAATTGAATTTGAGACAGTGGAAAAGAAAATTTTGGGAATATAATGAGTTTTTTTTCAGATTGGTTGCAGACTTTCTTCTTTTTTTCCTTCTTCTTCTCGTGACCCAATTGGAAGTTTTTCACATTAACTCTGCCAAGTTCTGGTTGCCATAGCTGCTTCTTGAGAAGGGCATTTTGTCGAACACTCTGAGTTCATTGAGCAGAATTCGGTCTCATATAATTGTCTTCATCGGTTACACCTGCAGGGAAACGGTACTGAGCACTGTTCTAGATGAAGTCTCACCTGTGAATTGCACGTTAATCCACCTGAAAACTGAAAGATAAGACACCATTTGCTCCAGTGAAGCCCGCTCCCTGAGAAGGCAACCAAGGAGAACGGAACACCGTTTTTAAGTCTATTAGATGATTTTTCGTGCTACACATGTAAATATAAAGAGTTAGGTGTGATATGTATAAATATATGTGTTTTGAGTATTATGTGTGTAAATCTCCCTATAAAAAATATCACCCTTATTAATATTATAAGATTAAAGTATTTTGTGATTGGGAAATGCAACTTTCATCTAGTTGACAAAACAACAACAAGCCTTTATCCTACTAAGTAGGGTCGGCTAACTGAATCTCTTTTCTCCACTGTGTCCTATTGAGTGTCATATTTTCGTTTAACTTTAATAAATTAACACCATTTTTATACAACATGCTCAAGTCTTTTTCGGTTGACCTCTGCTTTTCTTAACATAAGTCGAATCTAAAACATTTACTATCCTAACCGGATCATCAAATGACCCACATTTAATATGAACAAACCATCTAAGACGACTCTCTCAAATCTTGTCTGCCACTAGAGACAAGATTAGGCAACATAAGCTATTCAAAAAAGATTTCAAGTACTACATACAGATTGACAAGCTATTATACTAATAGAAACATAGGGGTAGAACACAAGAAAACTAAAATAATAAATCAAGAGTTATTTAGAATCGATTGGGATATTGCAACTTACATTTCCATCTTGTAAAAGAAGTAGTGAAATCAAATTGCCAATAACCTGTAAAATAAAAGTTAGTTATGTCAATGGCTTATTTCCAAAACAAACAAGACTGCATGAAATCCATACAATATAATAGAAGTGTGCCACAAGTAAGGAGCCTAAGCGACCTAATGATGCTTCAGTATTTAGAAAATGTCTCAAAATTTATATTTGCAACATTAAACCTATGTTAGAAGGAGAGAGAGGGTTGTTTCTATTTTCGCACTACAATCTCAAGCTCAAAATGGAGGTAACCTAACTATTACTCAAGCCTTCCACTCGAACATCACAAAAAGAAGGTGCATTTACATGCATATCAACCAATTCCTATGTTTTTATATATCCAACAGTTAAACTTTTACATTTATACCTCCCAAATCTTTCATTTCACATCAAAAACATCCTCATGTTAACATTTAATAAGTGAAATACATATTTTCATGCATAGGTAAGGTGGCATGTACGTCAAAATTGAAGTTTAGGTGTTAGATATGTAAATAAATAGGAATTGAGTGTTATAGATGTAAATCTACCAAAACAAATCAACAACAAGAGTTTCAAAAGAAATAAGATGATAGCATACCTGCGTGCTAGCAAAAAAACCCCAAAATTCTCCATTGAAGCCACCAATAACAGTGCCCTCGTGCAAGTTCCAATCTTTTGCATGGCTGCGCGCTGCCGAAGTAAGATACGTACCCTATCAGATCCACTTTATCAAACCTTTGAGGTTGTCGAGTAAACCATGAAGAATATTAGCAACATGAGAAAGAAATCATCTTCATTAAATTACCTGTCCAACCCATATTATAGAAGCTGTGAAACCAAGATATAATGAAGCCGGCACCATCGTATACCTACAAAAACAAACCTCAATTAAAGTTAATGAACAAATACTACAATAAAAAATCAAAGGAAGATCTACATACATACCATTCATTTCCTATATATTTACACAACTAAAACCTAAACTTCAATGCATACATACCATCATACCTATGCATGAAGCTGTGTATTTCACTTTTTTCAAGTTAAAATGGTGATATTTTCGATGTGATATGAGAGAATAGGGTGGTATAAATGGGTGCTATAAATGTAAAAAAGTAAAATTTTGGTGTTAGATATGTAAATACATAAGAAATGAGTGGTATGCATGTAAATGCCCCATAAAATGTGAACAACTACGAGAAGTTTCAGTGAAGTATCAATTCAGAGAACTTATAAAAGCAAACCCCCATAATGTGAAATATAATCTAGAAGGGAAATGTCCTGATTGCATGTCTTATAAATGGTTGTAAATAACAGACAAAATATGGAGAATGGAGAGGCATCTTAAAGACAGATTGAGATGCATGAGGTAATAAAGAGAAAAAAAAAAAGAAAGAGAAAAACTCATGAAGTCAATAATGGAAAATAGCATACCACACAATTCTCATGTATTTACCTATCTCTAACACCTAAACATTCATATTTACATGCATACCACTTAAATCTTTAAAGTCAAATCGAGAATATCATCACCACTATCTTTTTAAAAGTGAAATACATACTTTCATGCATAGATTTATGACACCAAAGTGTTATGAGTGTAAATATCAAACTTTGAGTGTTAAATATGTAAATACATAAGAAATGTGTGGTATGAATGTAAATTTTCCTAGAAAAAAATATTAGGCTAAAAGAGCAGAAAAACTAGCCAAAATATGATGAGCTACAAGGCTCATCTCTATTGCCACATGAATAGTGTGTGCTAAAAAATGGTCTGCACGGATCTTGAGGTAATTTGAAGTCTACTCCCGTCGAATTGGCTACCCTCGGCCAACTTTTCTTCTAACGGATAACTTTTCACTCAGACGAGAGACTTTCACCCGGACGGAGGACTCATATGAAGGACTTCCCCCCCTCAAACGGAGGGCTCAGAAGAATCACATTTGCCCTCGATGGAGGCCTCAGAAGGACTTTTTAACGGAACACAACAATATAAAAGACTAAAATATCCTATATTGTTCTTTTTAAATAAGGCTAATATTATAATTTATTCTTTGGTCATCCTGTCATCTATAAATAGGATGGTCCTTTCATGTAAAATGGGTTTTCCCCTCACTTCTAAGGTAACACCCCGATTCGCCTCGAGAGGGGCAAGTCTTCCCCTTCTTCTCTCTCTCTCTCTCACATTCTCTTTCATCAGTCCAACGCTCTATTCCTTGGGCATGGTCCACCGGACATATATGAATTCAACAAATAAAATTCTCTAGTTATGACAGTATAAAACCACACTGAAATCCAGCCAAACCCAAAAATGCAAGAGATCCGCAGATTAATGAATTTTTGGATTTAAGCTCCGGTAGATAAAGTGAAAACTACAAATTAAAACTCAAATTAAACAAATTCAAAATCACATCATTAAAATATTAAGATCAAGCTTTACAAAATCATTAACTTAAAAAATTAAAATTTAAATCATAAAATTAATCACAAATTAAATAAATTTGAACTTAAAATTAATATAAAAAAATTATTAGTCACCAAAATTGAAATTAAGCCAATTTCATTAAAATTTTCAGATTAAAATTAACGTTGAAAAGTTAAAAAATTAAAATCAAATATAAAATTACAAAATTTAAAAATAAATAAAAATTAAAAGAAAATCAAACATAATAAAAACACCAAAATTAAAATTAATTAAAATATAAATCAACTAAATTATGATAATAAGATTAATCCAGATAAAATATTAATTAGTAAATCGAAATTAATTAAAACCAAAATCCACTAAAATTATGATAATTGAATTAGTAAAAAATTAATCAATTAATTAAAGTTATTTAGAATCAAAATTCACAAAATTTATGATAATTAAAGTAATCAAAATAAAAAATTAATACATTAATTCAAAATGAGGAAAAAATCAAAATTCAAATTCACTTAATAAAAGGCCTAAAATTTTTGTCATGAAAAAAGTTCACAAAAATTTCAATTTTCCCGAATTCATCGCCCAAATCCAATTTCCAAAAGTCCACCATCCAAAAGCCTAAATTCAAACATTCAAAAGCTCAAATCCACCATCCAAGAATCCAAATCAAATGGAATGACAAAATAAGCCATTAAAAATATGCTAACCCAATTCATCCAAGCCATTTTAATCTCGTGGCAAGACAAAGGTAAGCAATGTAAAGCCTCATGTAAGGCAAATCTAAGCCCAAAACCAACCCCATGACATATGTTCCACGCTGTTTTCACACAACTGCAACAAACAGATAACCAACTTCCCCGCAGCAGCTTTCCGGGCAGCGCAGCTGCAGCTGAAAACTGGAAGTTGCAGCTGCGCCAAACAGACCCTAACTATCCCCTCTCTTAATTATTTCTCTCCATTAAGGCTATCAATTTGGCTTGCTATTCGCGAACAACTCGTGTTCAGCTCGTTCGTTAAGCCTAACGAGCCGAACATGAACAAATTTTTAAGCTCAAAATGTAAACGAGACGAACACGAATAACAATTTGTTCGCTCGTGTTCAGCTAGAATTGGCTCGAAAATAAATAAATAAATAATTAATTAATAAATACATAACAAATATTCATAATATTAAATATTATAAACCATAATTAATTATTTTTTTAAAAAAATTAGCATATGTTATAAAATTAAATTCTATTATAATATATAACAAATTATTATAATAATAAATTAATATTACTTATTAAATATTATATATTTATATAGTAATATAATATAAGTTATATAGTTATAATGTATTATATATCTAATATTCTAAAAAACCCTAACCGACCTCGTTAGGGTCCGTTTGGGGCAGCTTATAAGTGCGGGCGGGGGTTTTAAAACGC